ACTTAAGCATAACATGAAATTTAGTTATATACATGCACATATTGCAACAATTTTGTAAAATCACATGATTAACATTTTAAGCTCAAACTTGGTCACAATGTTCATCACTCATAATAGGATTTTACATAAAAGTTTCGCATTCATAGCTTGCATGTGGACAGAGTACTCTCGCACATAAAATTAGTTCGACATGCATGCGATCTAAAAATTATAACTCCTTCCTTTCGTATGATAAAATGATGAAATTTGACATGGGGGCTCTCAATGCATATATAAGCATGTCCATAAAATTTTATAATTTTATCCTGCGTACAAATCGAGTTCTACGCGTTTGAAGTCGCAACTGAAATTCGTGCATGTAAAGTTCATCTTGCATGTTTAACTTTAAAAGTCAAGAACTCGAGTTATACTAAGCCAATTGACCTAATTCTTGATCCTAGGAACTCCTCTCTTCCACAAGAAATAGCCATAAAATTAGTACATTCCCAGATTTTTTAGAGAATAGGAAAAAACGTATGAAAACATGACATATAGAACATGCAAGAAAAACTGGGAGTACTTAAATATTAAGCATGCTTGAAACTACTTCAAAACTGAACATATATGGGTCCATTATATATCAATCAACTCCTTCTCATCTATTTTATGATTCGAAAAAGGTTTGATCATACCAACCTATTAATCTTCAAGAAAAACGCAAGAGAAGTCGGGTATGCTCGGTTGTAGCCTCCTCTTCTTGCTCTCGAGTTTATGCTTGCTTCTCTACGAACTTTCTTGAACTTTAAGACTTAAAACTCTTCTATGATGAGTGTAGGATGGGGTAAGAATGATATTATGCTTAGGGCATGAAGGTTTGATGCTTAGAACTCGAAAATAAACACAAGTGTGCACTCGAGATTTTGCTTGCTCTCAATTATTTTGCTACAATGCACAAGTCATTGAACTATTCTTCTCTCCACTATACTAAGGGATGGTTAAGGATAAAATGAGGGATACAAGGAGCTGAATTGGAGTCTTAAATAGGGTCTTAGGGCGATGCAAACTAGACAAGAAAGTGGGAGACATTGACTTGCACCAACTCATTTCCAATGCATGATTCTTTGCATACTTGAGTGAAAGTGGGGCACTATGGTCTGGTGGAGCACGAAATTGGACTGAAAAGGGCAGGAGAAATCAGGTCATAGCACTAAAAATGACTGGGAAAAAGACCTTACACACTCTCATTAAAAAAAAAAAAAAATGCCCATGATGCACTAGCTTATGAATAAAGAATGTTAAACTTGTTCAACTCTTTCTTAACTCCAAATCAAGCTTAATTAGGCTTCAATTAACACCTAAAACTCAGCCTTCATGAGTATGGGACCAAGACTAAGGGGGTAAGATGGCTAGGATCTTAAAGGGTTCGACTAAGACTCGATGGAAGGCGCGCGCGGCTAGGGGCGCGGATGCGCGCGAGGCCGCAGCTAGGGATCTCGCGAGTCTAATGCTGGCTTGGACTTGATCTTTATGACCGAAAGTTGCATTACCATGGCTAAAATAATTGAACTCATATGCCCTAAGATTACTAAGGTCCTCAAGGCTCGGTCGATTGGTGCGTCGGCAAGGGCGAACGTACGACTAGGGTTCGGCGGGAGAGAATCGACGATTCGGCACGAATAAAATATTGAACTTATAAACTAACATACATGAGCACATAATTCACATATAAACACAAATATATCACAATAATTGTGTAAAAATTCTTAAATCAAACAACTCGGAAAAGTTGGAAAATTATCGGTTTCACTTATAGTCGAGCAAGTGAAACAGTTCTGATATTACAACTGATCGGGGTGTTACAAAGTCAAGTCGTCTTGCCTTATTCGCGTCTCTCGACTATCCTGTAGTATTTACTCTTTTCTGTATTATCCCTTGTCGGCTTTCGCAAGTCGACTTTGAATTTCTGACCAGTCTTAATTCATGATTTTACTAATTCCAACCTTTTTTTTCTTTTTCTCCTTATAACTTCCATTCATTCACCTTGTATAGCTACTGCTGCTCTCTTAGAGCAACCTCTCTTCATCTCTTTCATATACTGACTTGAGCGTCGGAGGCTCTACGCCGGAAACACTTCTGGCGTTGAGTTCTTGCAGGTGTTTACAGCGGTCTAGCAACGGTTCGAAGGCGATTCAAGCAGATCTGAGCTCAAAACCATTGGTTCTCTTCAGATCCAGAAGTAGACCCATCCCACCCTTAACGGAGGACGACTTGGTGGCCGCCCTATGGAACTTGACCACCAGCAAGGTCAAAGTCAAACTCCTCCTAAAATCCTCTGCCAAATTTGTAATTTTAATAAAAGAATCATAAATCGTTTAATTATTGTTTGGTTGAATTGATAATTGAATAAATAAATAAAAATAATGAATTTGTTTAAATATTTACTGTGTTAAAAAGAAGTGGTCATGTCTAAATAATCAGACTTTGTTTCAACTCTAATGGTGTTATTTGACATCTCGGGTATACTCTTTTATAGTTTATGTTTTTAATATAATCATTCTTTGACAAAAAGGGAACACAATCTCATACTTGCAATGTATATATCTATTCTCAAAACAACAACTACAGACTCGTGCAAAACCTCAGCAATAACAAAAACAAAGACTCGAGCAAAACATCACAAACTTGTGCAAAACCTCACAACTACAAAAACACATACTTGAGCAAAATGTCACAGACTCGTGCAAAACCTCAACAACAAAATGAGTACACGTTCTTAATTTCTCCTTAACCCCCATCCCTAACCCTCCTCACAATCAACACTTTCGAACCATCCTCAAACGTATACTTTATCCACATGGGGGGAGGGGGGGGGCTCATCCACGTTTCCCCCGGCCTAGGCCAGCTTGTCAAGTCTAGTCCTCCATGAGCCGGGTTTTCGCAAGCTGGCTCCCCTTGGACTCAGGCCCCGAGCAGCTCGGGAGCGAAGACTTGCAGTGGATTGGGAAGCGTAGCGGAAGCCTAAAACAAAACACATAACACAACAACACAATAACGATCACTAACCAAGCTAATACAATAATTTTGATCACCAAATTTACGAACCTAAACACTACCGAAAACCAATATGCCCAATTCAAAATGTAATATTGTAGGTGAGTTGAACTAGACAACTAATTAGTTAGGTTAAATTGAAGAATTACTGCAGCCATGGGATGATTGAAAGGGACGTCACGTCACGTCACATTAAAGCAAATGCAAGCTACCTTGTGGAGTTGAAGTCAAAGAAAAATTAAACACCGTTTAGGTTTGACCAACATTATGAACATTTTAGATGACATTGAGAGATGCATTTGGAGGCACCACCAACCCTTGTATTAAGGAGTTTGAAGTCAGTTGGGGGTGCTTAATCGGCTCCGGACAAAAGATCGTCTAGAGTTTCTTGAGGAAGATCCGATATGCCCTCTTTGTGGAGTCGCGAATGAATCTTCGAGCCACTTATTCTTTGAAAGTACCTTTAGCTCGGAGATTTAGAGGGCGTTTCGTACTTGGATTAGCCTCCGACATAGGCCGTCCACACTAAAAGTAGCCCTCAAATGGATCAAGAAGGAGGCGAGAGGGAGTGGTTGGCAAACCAAGTTGAAGAAAGCGGCGCTTGCTACTACCGTATACTTCATTGGGAATGCTAGGAATCAGTTGGTGTTTGAGAATGAATACTAAGGCCCGAGTCTTGTAATTCGCAAGGTAAAAACACATGTTTATCAAATTATTTTTGCTATTTATCCGAATGTGCTTGTTGAATTTGAGAGGAGGAGCCTTGGGCTTTGGAAGGTATTTTTGGTGCTTGATTGTTGAGGTATTGAGGTGGTCGGATGGCCATGGTGTATGGTCATTTGGTAAGGGGAATTTCTATCCAAACAGGTTCTGCCCAGGTGCTAGTTCCGCTAACAAGGGCCTAGCGCCGCTAACAAGGCTCTAGCGCCGCTAAGGAAGGGCCTAGCGCCGCTAGAAGGAGGCCAGTGCCGCTATGCGGGCTAGCGAGGAGGTAGCGCGGATGCAGGTGCACAGCTCCAGGTACTAGCGTCGCTTACCTGGCTTAGCGCTGCTACCGCTCAAAGCCTAGCGCCGCTAGGTGCCCTAGCGACCAACTGAGGCTGCCGCTTATATGAACCTAGCGCACCTACCCATATGTTTAGCGCCGCTTGCCTGGACTCATCCTGTGCGTGACACGACATCACTAGAGTCGCTAGCGCTGGTTAGCGCCGCTAGACACGACTCGACCAGAGCGCGCCACGACAACACTAGCGCCGCTAGCCCCGAACCATCCTGCGTGCGCCATGACACTACTAGCGCTGATAGCTCCAACCTAGCGGTGCTAGCCCCGACTTCCAGCACATTTTCCTTTGGCGTGCGAACCGTACCATGCCACCCCTAACGACGCTACTCAAGGCCTACGCCGCTAGACCCGACTCCAAAAAAGCTTATGTGCGTGACCCGTTTTTATTTGTTTGCACTTTTTTTCTAGTGACTTTTGAGTGACCAACCGACTTGTGGTTGGCCTCGTATATCTTTATCTTGCGAATGAGGAACCGACCTATGGTTTCCCATTACGCTTTTGTATGCTGTTGACCAGTTGACCGAACCAGTTTTGATCTATATATTTACATTTAACGATAAAAAATAAAAGGAGTTTCAAGTCAGAGAAAAAATGTCANTTTTTTTTTTTTTAAATTATTTTATTAAATCATTTGTTTCACACATCGAATTGTTAGTCAAGTTGTATTTTGTTTGTGAGCATAGTGTAATTGACGTTGTGACTGACGGTCCTCGAGACGTAGACAATATTGGTTGAAATTCGTTATAAATTTAGTTTGCTTTTTTTCTTTCTCATAATTTATTTTATGCATGAAGACATAGGCAATATTTTATCATGAAGACATAATTTATTTTTATATGCTATTGCGTATTTGTAACACTCCAACACAATTAATATATAGAAAGAAAACAACTTGTACATAATTATTGGGACAACTTGCATTACTAATCTCATCTCGTCTCCTCTCCGTATAGTATTCTACTCCTCAACACTCTTTAACAAGAAAAAGTAGTACATAAGATTCCCATCAAACGGAGTATGGGGGTGAATTTTTATCTTTCCAAAAGGAGACGTGAGAGCATAAAATTGCTCCCCATTCATCCACCTAACTACAGGCTATATTAGTGTGTTAATCTATCTCTCTCTTAAAGTAGTTATCCCACTCGTGCTGTTTGGTGGTTCCAAATGCATAATACTTCCAACTGAACTCTGGATCAAATTCAGCGCTTGAATTCCTCCCCTCCTTCATCTCCCTCCTTAACGCATCAACTCTCTGGACCATTCCTCTTATCGCCAGATCAAAGGCATCCTTGGTTTTCTCCAGCCTCGACCTGTGGTCCACATAGATCACGTTTGGTATCAACTTTATCACCTTCTCCCTCATGGCCGCCACCCTCGAGGTCGGTATGCGGGACAACACCCTATCGATGCTAACCTTGAGATAGAGTCACAAAAATATGAATAAAAATTTTAATATTAGGACATTGATCCCAAGAAATAATGAACCATTTTCGGGATAATGTCCCAACAATGACACAAATTGCAACATAATGAGGAGAAGGTTAGCGTACCCAAAAAGAACTTTAGACAAGTAAACGGACCAAAAATAACTTTTGCCAAAAATATTAATTAATCAAAGATAAATGAAGAAGAAGAGTTATTGGAGTTTAATTAAATGAAAGCAACACAATTAAACTACCTTGTGGGTCTTGACGTCCCCCTCCGGTATGAGCACCGAGTAGGACCCAAAATCGGAAGGCAAGTGCCACAAGTACTGAACGTACGCAGAAGCGGGAGAGAAGAAGACTGGGATGCAACCCGCGAGTATGGAGTCGAAAGTGGACCTCCTGGTGAAGGAGTCCCCCGACGGCTGCAGGCAGAAAACAGATCCTTGAAACATCCTCATCAGGTTTTCCGGCTTGAGGCAGTTGTGTTTCTCATCCTTGCAGTGGACCATCTTGCACCTCTTGTCGGCCGCCCCACACTGGTCCATGATCTCCCCCCGGATGGATCCCTCCATGTTGGGGCGCGGGGCTCCCGCAAAGCAGAAGAGGCTCCGCCTCTTCTGCCTGCGCATCCTCCCCTGCCACTCCCGTACCTGCGCGTCGCTCGACGGGTGGAAGTAAGTCGGGTAAGGTATGGCAAAGTCGTTGGGGTGCCAGGGGCTGGACTCTATTGTTATCATGGTCATGTTCTGGGACTCGGGGGCCACCATCAAGCTATTTCCCCAGTCGGAATCTGCGTCGCCTGACCTGCGCAGGTCCCACGTGATGCGGCCGGAAACCAGGAAGTGGTCTCGGCCGCCCATGACCCTCCATTGGGGCCGCGAGCGGAGGAGGGCAAAGAGGTCAGTGAGGTCGGCGTCCTTCACGGAGGCGTTGTAAGTGTCCCAGAGGAAGCGGGAGACGTCGAGGCCCGGGTAGTAGGGCACGTAGATGGCGGCGGCCTTGGATGAGTCGTTGGTGAGGCAGTCGTAACGCTGCATGCGGCTGTGGAATATGACGTCTAGGGAGAATTGGTGGGTGACGTACCAGCACGAGGAGGAGAGTCTCTGTCCTAGGCCGCCGTTGTTAAAGTAGGGGCACATGTCGTGCCATTTGTTGAGGAGTTTGCAGTTGTTGATGTAGTCAGAGTTGAACCGCGAGGGGAGGTTCTGGATGTAGATGTATCTCCCCTCGCATCCACTTCTTGTTTTCTTTTCTTTATCTTCTTCTTTTTCTTGTTCTTCTTCGTGTTTTGGTAGTAAGGCCTCCACTTCTTTCTCCAGATCACCCATCACCGTTTCAATATCTGTTGTCTCGTTACATGGTGGCTCGTTTGGGTTGACATGGACATCTGAAATGAGTTTGGATGAATTGCTGGAGCTGATGAGGATGTCGTTGTGTGATATTCCTGGATTTTCTTGTGAGACGGACGAGAGTCCAGGGAGGGAAGACCAGTCGAAGCCGTAAAGCAACAAGTACCAGAAAAAGAACAAAAGAAAGAAAAACAACCACAGCTTTTTCATGGTGTGGTTTTCAGACGTCATTTTTGCTTGACGGATTCCTCTTTTTCGGGTCATCAACCTCCTGCTACATCTTTTCTCTTAATTCATTTGATTTCATTGCTGGACTTGCGGAGGTCATGACTTGAGTGTAATAAACGTATGCGCCAAATTGTATGGTGAAGCATGTTTTTTGGTGTACCCAAAGTTTTGGTTTCAACCTTTATTTATGTTTAGCAACACACAGAAAAAAAGATTAAAAAAAAAAGATTGTATTTATGTTTCGTTCGTTTCCGTGTGATGTGTGTGTGTGTGAGTGAGTTTTGTTGTGTTAGTGGTATTAATTACAAACAACATGTTGTGAAGAAAATGGATGGCAAGGCCATACACACCTTTTTGTTTTGATTGAGAAACAAGTGCCACTTTTATAGCCGAGAAAAGGTAGGATGAACTAGTGTTGGACCATTCATATATATATGTATATATTTGTGAGGTTGGTATTAACTTAGAAAGGTCTTAATTGAGACACTAACTCTATACTATTCCATTAAATATAAATATTTTGAAATTAAAATATAATACTTTAAAATGAAATATAAATATATGTAGTATAATTTCCGATTTGACAATTTAGAATTTGTGTAATTGAAAATGCCAAAAACGATTGGGCTATAATGTTCTAACTTGAGAGCATCTACATAGTACACATTACTAAACAATTTTCACCAAATATTATTACTCTACGTTTCCTATTAAAAGTCAAATGTTTATGGAAAAATAAATAAATAAAACTAACATTTTGTAATTCTCATGGAATATAATACGTATAATTATGTTCAAATTACAATAAATCATTTATAAATTAATTATAAATAATAAAATAATTATTATATTTAATAAAAAAAAATTGAAAATAGTATATATTTTTGGGTATTACTAATTCAATATACATTTATACATGAAAAAATATTATTTTTAATTTAATATTATTAAGCTTTTTATGAAGCTTTATCAAACTTTTTATCGATGGGGACGACGCTGATCCGAGGAGCACCGACTGATCGAACTTGGACCTTTGGATGACCTATTTGAGACTCGACCTGAAGGTACATCAGGTAGTAGGATCGACAAGATGAGCAGAACATAGGAGCTTGAAATTGTGGGTACTATACCTCGAGGTAATTGGGGTCGGTCACACGGTTAGACTGTCTAATAAAGAAGACTAAATTATAAAAATAAATATTATTAGGATAAGATCCACACGTAGGATCACGTAGCCTAACAAAATTGGGCAGTTCAGACATTACGAACGGGCAGTCCTGGAAGCCCACTCGAGCAGCCTTGAGCAACAACGTATCATCCCCCTATATAAGGGAGTGAGGTATGTCCACTGTTAAATTACATACTCTCTATACACTTACATATTTTTCATTGTCTTTCACATCTTGCTCACTTAAGCATCGAACGCTCTTCAACGGAAAAACTCCCTTCGGACTCGATTTGCAGGTCTTGGAGATCAACCATCGGCAAAGACGACAGATCAGGTCGAACTGAGTCGATCGAGGGTTCTTTCATACCAATATTGTTAATGAGAAGACAATCCATAAATTTTTATTTATATACATGTATTATTAAAGAAACTTTTTTGTCTTTTGTATTAGTAAATAAATAAACATATTTATTATATATAAAATTCAAAACTATTGGCCATTAGATAAATTTTTTATATATAAAACAACAAATAAATAATTATATTATATGTTTCTTAATTTAACACATAGTAGACATATAAAATTATTATTTTATATATTTATATAAAAATATTTTTTCATAACTTATTTGTACATCTCAAATCAAAATTAGTTGAATCGATGTTTTTTTTTTTATTTTAATAGTGCAAGATTTTAGTGACCTGAATATACCATGTAACAATTTTATTGAATGAAATATCTTTTTTTTTCATTAAACACTAAAATATTTTAAAACAAATATATAAATATCACATACACGTTTGGCTGAATGCATTTTTTGAAAATTTTTGAAAACAAAATCAATATTTTAAAATATTAACAAAAAATAAACTAAAAAGAAAAAATTTCATCTAAAAATGCTTCAGTGGATAATCGAGGGTTCGACTCCTCGGAATCTACACAGAAGAAGCATAACTCGGATAGTTACCATAACTTAACTTGGTAAAATAATTTACCAACTTGAAGAATTTTTCTTAGCTTAAGGTTCTTGACCTAGTTAAATTTTCTTAAATTTGGAACTCTTGGCTAAGATATTTTTAAACTCGGAAAAAGGGTCTCGAAGTTTGGTATTTAAATAGTGTCTTAAAACCACGTTCACGGCTCGAAAATATTTTCAATACTCAATGCGAAAACTGCAGGTCGCCCGTGGCGTTCCCTTGCTCGACGCTGCCCAGCGCTCCCCGATGTTGCGGTTCGCACCATATGCGTGCTCGCTCGTGGGACGGGGTCTGGTGGCCTAGGTCTTGCGTGCTGACACGGGTACCAAGTGCACTCTGCGCTGCTGGGACGGTTACGGGTCGCTGGGCTCAGTGTCGTGCATGCAGGCACAGATGATCGCGCGCGTTGCGCTGCTGAGACGCGGGACGCTGAGCTCTCGGGACAGGGGCTCTCAGGCTATACGCTAGCATGGGAGCTGCGCCGTGCTCGCGCTTGTGCTCGTTGTGATGCTTGTGGGGAATGACGCGTGGACATGGATGGCAGCAACTGCGGCACGACACGAGGCGACTAGGCGCGCTTCGCAGAACACTGGCTGCACGCCTGCGTGACCGACGCGGCCAACACTCAGCTGCCCCTGCGTGCTGCTTTTTTCTCGGGTCGATGCGACGACCTAGCCACAACTTCCCAGGCTGGTCACGACCAGGCACAGTCTGAGGGTTTTAAGGCTTAAAAATTTTAAGTTTTAAAATGTAGATTCTTGCCTCAAAAGCGAGGCTCAACACAGTAATATAATCTAATTTTTCTCAAAGCACATTTCAAGATTTTTTTTAAAGCATTTTTTCCAAAACATTTTTCCTAGGTACTTTCAACATAAATTTTCTGAGGCTAAGAGGATCAATTTTTCAACATTCAAGGCAACAAAATGCACGGATCCAAGGCTTCAACTCAAGGTAACCAAAATAGAGTCCAAAACATCTTAATTTCACAAACCCTTGAATTTTCTCATAAATTCAAAGGATCTATTCTATACGAACCTTAAGAACATAAATTCTCAACTCTTCTTGAATAAGCTTAAAGAGGGTAATCAGATTTATTACCTCTCTTTAGGAATCTACAATCTAAGGGTAGATGGATCATATCGAAGCCTCGGATCTCTCGGCTCGGCTACTCATCTCGGCCTCGGCTACTCGGGTTGAGTGCGCGCGATGGCGCGACGCTATTGCTTCTCGGCCGTGATTCGGATAGTGGTTGTGGCTGGCCTTGTGCATTCAGCAGAGCACTACTGCGACGGAGTCTTGGTTAGGTGCTCGTGGTTGCTATTCGCGGCTAACCGGCATTGTGTAGACCGAGACCTAGCGGGAGTTCACGGCGCGATGGCGGGATGACTGCTGCAGCGTGCTCTTGCGGGAGTTCAATTGTCAGCGAGAAGGCTGTACAACGACCTTGGTTGTCCTCGGTTGTGGTTCAGAGGATGTTGAATGTCTGCGGCACCTCTCGACGATGGACACAACTCCTCGGGTGCTTCTTGTTGCGGTTCACCTCGACATCACGATGGTGATTTCTTGGCAGGGTTGCGTACGGCTGAGGGAGTGTGATGGGGTAGACGTCAGGGCTGTTTAGGTGGGTTTTTGGGAGAGAAAGGACAGGTTTTAAAGAGTGTTTTTGGTGATCTCTTGCTTTTAAAATTCTGGCCGAAAGGGAAAGGATTTTTTGACCCAAAATGAAACTTGGAAAGGTGGAAAATACCAAGTGAAGATGGGATCAAAATCCTTCCTTATTGGGGTGATAAGGCCATGTAAAAAGGGGGAAAACTTGGCTTGATTGGGGCTTAAGTTATCAGCTAATTGAAGAGTATAAGGGATAAAATTTGTTACCAAAATTGGCTTCAAAAGGGTTTGAAATTTGAACTAAGTCTTGGAGCCAATGAGAGCTTAAGGGCCAAAATTTTTAATACATAATGGGTTGGGTTTTTTTCTCTTGAGGGACGAAAAATATCTCTTAAACTCTGGCCGAATTGTTGTCTTGCTTGGGTAGACACTTAGCAAAAGGGCTTGCACGAGAATTTGAAGACGGACGAATTTTGAATAGAAAAATAAATTGCTGATAATTGAATAATTCATGTAGACTTGGCCATCTACAAAAATTATTTATCTTAAAGGATTAAATAAACGAGATTTTAAAGAACTTAGTTGAGCTCAAGAAATTAAATGCAATGCAATGTACTCGAAAATAAAATAAAATGAGATGTCTCTTATTAAACGAACGGATAAGTTAGAGCCTCGTTCAGAAGTAAGGTTGTTTGTGGCATATTCTAAGGAAACAGAACGTGGTCTGTTGTATAGTCCCGAAGACTAGGAAGTGATTGTTAGTACGAACGCTAGGTTCTTGGAAGAACACTACGTTATAGGCCATAAGACTAGTAGTGGAATGTCCTTTTGAAATCGGGATTAGTATTGAAACAAAGGACGGACATAGTATAGTCTTGACTGACCGCACCAGATCTCGTAACGCTTCCGGTTCTCTTTGTTTTATGTAAGAAAAAAATAGAAATACTATGTTCTCTTTGATGTAAGAAAAAAATAGTCAGAGGAGAAACAATGTCTGTCTTTGTCTTTATCTTAGGCGAAGAGAGAGAAGGAACCAATCCCGGAAGGAGACTATAAGAAGGAAGAGAGTCTTTTCCCATGCTTAACACCTTATCGAAAAAGGAATACAAGGCTCGATATAATTGACCTTTTTTTGTCCTGCTAGGCTGGTATCCTAGTTGGAGCATGATTTTCCATGCTTCCTTATGAGATAAAGGGTGTAAATACTTCAACACCAAATGCACTTGATGTTACACTATATAACTCTGAA